TTGGGTTGAGGACCAGAGTGGGCATAGGGGTGGGGATGGAAAGTGGGGTTTGGGATGGGAGTGGAGTTTAGTGTGGGGATGGGATTAGGTTTGGGGTGGGGATGGGAGTGAGAATCAAGCTGGGGATGGGAGCGGGAGTGGGATTTGGAATGGAGATGGGTGTGGGGATGGCAGTAGTTTTCAGGATGGGGATGGGGTTTGAGATGGGTATGGGAATCAGATTGGGGATGGCAGTAGTTTTCAGGATGGGGATGGGGTTTGAGATGGGTATGGGAATCAGATTGGGGATGGCAGTAGTTTTCAGGATGGGGATGGGGCTTGGGATGGAGATGGGTGTGGGGATTAGGTTGGGGATGGCAGTAGTTTCAGGATGGGGATGAGGTTTGGGATGGAGATGGCTGTGGGGATCAGGTTGGGCATGGCAGTAGTTTTCAGGATGAGGATGAGGTTTGGGATGGGGATGAAGCAGGTGGTCCTTCCCCTCCTCATGCCCTTGTCTCTCTGCTCAGGGTGGTGACAGACCAGTGCTACCCATTCACCAGCCAGGAGAGCGTGTTGGCAGCTCAGCCCTGCATGATGCACAGCCGCTCCACGGGCCGTGGCAAGCGCCAGGCCACGGCTCAGTGCCCCAACCCCCAGACCCACTCCAACGAGATCTACCAGTCCACCCCTGCCTATCGCCTCTCCTCCAGCGTGAGTGCCCTTGGCATGGGCGAGTGGGAAGGGGTTGTTTGCCTGGGAAAGCCAAGTTTAGAAGTGAAGCTGGGAAAACCCCTTTGCTGAGCCTCCGGGGGAGCTGCTCCTCCTCCACCCAAGCATCTCCTCAACACCCACCCGTGGGTGCTTGGAGTGCCTCTGCCTGCATCCCCGTGGGGTGGGGAGGGCAGTGCTGGGAGGTGCCAGGTATCACCCAGCTCTGTGCTTGCAGGAGAAGGAGATCATGAAGGAGCTGCTGGAGAACGGCCCCGTGCAAGGTATGGAGCTGGTGTGGGCACCCCCAGCTGTGCATCCCTAAACTGGGTGTGCTGCTGTGGTTTGGGGGGGAAAATGCCCTTCCTGGGGCTGGGGGATGGTGTGGGAGGCAGGACCTGCTGCTCTCCCTGCTTTGTGCTCAGCAATGTGCCTGGCAGTGCTGTGCTCTCCCGTGCCCGTCACGCTGCCCACCCCAGCGGGCACTGGTTGCTCATTAACTCCTGAGATTTAATCACCGTCTCAGCAGTTGCTTTTGTTTAACTTTGTGGAGTTTTTTTTTTTTTAAAACCTCCTCTGAGTGTTGTTACATCACCCAGGGGAGGATCTGGCCACTGCCTTCCTTCCTGCTGTGCAATGCTGTTATTCCCTGCCCTCATCCTCCACCCTGGGGGACATGGAGCCTTATCCCTTGGGACAGGGACAGTGTCCTCAAACCCTCTCCCCCTTCCCGCAGCCATCCTGGAGGTACACGAGGATTTCTTCATGTACAAGAGTGGGATCTACCGGCACACACCAGTGGCTGAGGGGAAGGGGGCAAAGCACCAGAGACATGGGACCCACTCGGTCAAGATCACTGGGTAGGTGGGAGGTGCTGTGGGAGGCTCAGGGGTGTGTGGGGAGGTTTGGTCCAGGTGGGAGAAGTGTCCTCTTGCTCCGGGCAGGGAGAGGAGTTGGGGAGCCAAGGAGGCTGCCACAAGTGTCACGAGTGTGCAGTGGTCAGAGGAGGAGGGAGGTGGGTTGGATGTGCAGATCCCAAGGAGGGGGTCGAGGCCAAGGAGGGGAGCAGGGCAGGCTGCCCTGTGCTGGCTCTTCCTTCCTCCTTCCATGGCTAAATATACCTGGCTGTATTCCGGGAGCGGATGTGAATACCTCTCCCTGGCCCTGGGGAAGTGACAGGGTCAGGAAACGAGCAGCAGGGTCACCACAGCATCCCCCCATACCACGGATCCCACAGCCTGGGGGTGCAGGTGAACCCCCCTCAACCATCCTCTCCTGCTGCAGGTGGGGAGAAGAGCAACTCCCTGATGGCCAGACCCAAAAATACTGGGTGAGTGTTTGGTGTCACGAGTTCGTGGGGGCTCAGCGATGCTGCTGCTGTTTCCCCATGCCCTGGTGGGGTTCAGCTTGGGGAATGGAAAAAAAAAGGTTCAGCTTGGGGAATGGGGTGTCCAACGGTGCTGAGCCATGTCCTGTGGCCCCTCTGCAGACAGCAGCCAACTCCTGGGGCACAGCGTGGGGCGAGGGTGGCTACTTTCGCATCGCCCGCGGCGTCAACGAGTGCGAGGTGGAGACCTTCGTGGTGGGAGTCTGGGGTCGGGTCAGCATGGAGGACATGCCCCACAAGTGACCCCCAGACTGCCCACGGCCCTCCCACCAGTGTCCTTGTCCCCCCTGCAGCCCCTCCATCCCCCCAGCAGGTTGGGCAGGGGGCTGGGACTGTGCCCTGGGTGGGAGCTGTGTGCCCACTGTGCTGACACAGCGGCTGAGTGCAGTGGGGCATGTGTTGGGGGGATGTCC